ATCGGAGGAGCAGGAGAGCGAACATGCTGATGTCCGGTACCACACAGCTGCCACATGGCTCAGTCCGGGCAAAGTGCTGAAAAGGTTCTGACTTCTGAAATCAGAGGTAAGAGTTTTGTGAGATGGAAGACAAAACCACCCCAGAGCTGTCTGATAAGGACCGGATGGCAGATTGAACGTTTGCTGTTGCTGTGACTGCAGTGATGAATGAAGTGAACACACAGCTGCAGGCCGAGGGCCTCTTTGCTCATGAAATGCACATCCATGTGAAAGCCTTCGTGACAAAGCTGCAATTCATTTCAAGGCAACTGGGCAGCAACAATGTCAAACACGTGAAAACCCTGAAAGAAGTCAAACCATCATCTGATCACCGGCACTCGTCCATGTTAGGAGCACTGCGTGATGAATTTAAGGCGATTTCAAAAAGGTTGAAATGCAGCTGGTTTCCTCTCCTTTACCACTAATGTTCAGCTTGAACTCACTGACCTGCAGGCTGATTCACTACTGAAAGAGCACTTTAAGTCAGCATCACTGCCAGAGTTCTACTCTGCTCTCAACGAGGAGAACTTTCCAAACAGGAGGAGACGTGCTCAGAAGATGTTGGTTCTCCGTGGATCCTCCTACATATGTGAACAGACATTCTCAGTCATGACGTTTAGCAAATCCAGGTACAGATCCTCTCGCTGATGTCAGCTGTGCTTCACATCTCCACCTCCAGACATTCAACCTGACTTTGATGGACTTGTTGCAGCTCCACAGAGACTGGATTTCTCACATGAATGAGAAAAGAACTGAAGACACTAAAATGTGGGAATATAACGAGTGAAATGGGACACTTGATATGCTTCTTTTCTTTTTTTGCACAGCTCTGAAAATGTTTTAATACAGGCGTGTAAAGTCAAAAAGGCTCCGAAACTGGGACTGATGATGTGATGTCTTTAGAAAGCGAAGAAAATCCTTGTTTCAATAGTATATGAAACTCAAAATGCCCTTTTGATATTTATGGGACTGAAAATGGTTTCACAGTTTGAAAATTACATTTGAATAAATTCTACTTTTGAAAGTAACCTCACCTTTGACTTGGCAAATAATAACGTATTAATAAATAATAATAATAATAATAAAGCCAGGTCGCAGTGGTTGACCCTGAGATGGAGAGAGATAGAAAGATTTAGGGTTTGCAGCTGTGTTTGGGGAAGGGGGTCATCTCGCTCTCACGGACCTTCGATCAGAGGAGCATTGGGTGTTACCCTCAGCTTCACCGGAGTTCTTATCTCAACTTGATTTGTGGCTTCTCGAAACCGCCGCTAAGAACTGTCTTCAAGTGTATAAAAATTCAGCGTTTTTACTGCTCGGAGACGCCATTACACAGAGCGCTGGAATACGTGCTGGTGTGTTGGACCTCCTGCTTGCAAGCAATAGTTAGAGACAGATATCTGCAGAGAATTGCTCACGTAATCTTTTTCTCTTCTAAATAAATGTAAACCTTTTGACTTTAATTGATCAACGTGCTGGATCCTTCTCATCAACCAACTCGGGGGATCGGAGATCCCGACAGAAGTGTTGAATGACGATACACTGATGGGTGAAGCGATGAATGACGATAAACTGAAGGCTGAAGCGTTGACGATGAAGTGATGATAAACACTTTATCCACGGTTACCTAACCCTTCGAACACAGTTCAGTGCACTAACCCCTGGGTGCCAACAAATCGTGTTTGGCGCCAAAGGTGGAGATGGGGACCTCCAGCCACAACGACGTGGACCTCAGCTGGATCCCTCAGGAGACCCTCAACCAGATCAGTAGGGCTCCTCTCTCTCCTTCTGTCTCTCCCTTTGTCTCCTTCTGTCTCTGCTTCTTCTGGAAGTTGATCCTCATGATGAATATTTGAAAGCATCTAAAAGGCTTCAGAGGTTTTGTAGAGAACATAAAGACATAAAGTGACATTCTTTTGTTGCTCGGACGCTTTCATCTCTGCTGCCGTTTTTCTCGCAGAATCAGCTGTTCTCTCCCTGTTTGACCTTTAACCTCCACTCTGCATGAGGGTCACTCACTGTTTCTCTCCCATGTTTCCCTGCGTCTCCAGTGCAGAGTCGCAGAGGTGAGATGTGTGTGTGTGTGTGTGTGTTGCTTAAGAGATGAAATAACTAATGAACAACACGCAGCAAAACGTCTTCAGCCTCCGTTTAAACAGAATGAAACATCTTCATCACGGAGGTGACTTCTCTTCTCTTCTTCTCTCCAGACAAAGCGTCTCCCAGAAGATCTCCTCGCAAGAGGAACCAGAAACGCTCAGCCGGCTCGGACGAGTGACGGTCGCCATGGCGACGGTCCACAGAGGACGGATGAAGACGGGACGAGTGGGGACTCGTTCCACTGAGAGACTTTAAACACACAGGGATCATGTGACTGGTTTTATCTGCTCGTTTCCTCTGTGGGAAACACAGCGTTGATGGATTCATTCCATCCAGAGGAAACGAGCTTCTGCTTTCATTTTGTTTTTTAAATGTGCAGGAAATAAAGTTTGATTTGATGTCGTCTTTGTTTGTTCTGATAAGTGTTTACGACACATTGATGTATAAACGTGTTATAACTTAATAGTTGAAGTAGGAAAACAAACTTTAAAATGAAGAAAAGAACTAAATAATCAAGTCACTTTTGAGACGATTGTTTCACTTTTATTATTAATTTCCTGCTGCAATAATAAGACTTTAATCATACAAGTATGTCAGCAAAGTAATACATGGAGGGACTAAATATACTGTTAGAAACAGAAGTACCTGATATTATCTCATTAAACATTTGAAGTATAAATCTGCTAAAATAATTATTCATATTTTCCTTATTTGTCGTTTATCAAACGTCTACTTGAACATTGTGACACATAAAGATGAAGATTAAACATCTAAATGATAATTATTGATTCCATCTGCAACACCACAAGTCCCAGAGAGCTGTGGACCCCCCAGAGTCCAGACCAGCTCAGGTACCCCTCACCTGCTCCACCTGCATTACTCTACACCCACATGAACCACCATCAGCTGCACAGACTGAACTATGTGGTGAGCAGAGAGGAAGGTTCTCCACCAGGAGGAGACTCTCCCTCCTGCAGAGAACACAGAGACACTGAGGAACCAAAACAGGAACCAAAAGCATACCAGCGTTCAAACCCAAACCCAGGATAAAGAGGTTCAGTGAATGTGGTGCTGAAGGTGTGGAGGTGGATCAGTGTGTCAGAGGAGACTCTGTAGAAGGACAAGAGCCAGCA